AGTGATAGCATACACTATTCTCCTCACTTTCTCAATTCAGATTTCCCCTTTTCTTTGGTCTCACCATAGAATTTCTCACCAGCATTTTCAGGAAATTATCAAATTATCAATAAATTCCTGGCTTTCAACTGCCATGTGTATTGAGAATAATGTATCATTCAATGCTATTTAGGTCCACGCATCTTGATATTTTATTAGAGGGTGTTTTACTTTTGTGCCTCCATCCTTTCTCTCCTTTTTCCTTAAATGCCAGCATTTTCCTAGGTTTTTGTCTTCCTTATTCATTGCCTCTTGAGTCTTAAGTTACCCCTGTGGCACTCAGATAGGTTTTCTGCCCCCCACTGATGGATAACATTTGTATAAATTATCAGAGTAATTAAATGTTGCATTCTTTGGAAAAAAAAAAGTATTTTTTAGCCTCTGACCCACTTCACTGTCTGTGGACGAGCTTTGCAATGGTTTAAGTTGTTAAATTGACATTCTTTCTTTCTTTTTTTTAAATTATTTATCCCCTGAACTCCAGCAACAGAAGACACTTTCAGATAGGTAAGTTAGGGAGACAGCAAGTCCTACTTGATTTCGTATTTCAAAACCACCCCCTTCTGGGCCTCCCCTACTGGCGCAGGCAGTTGAGCACCGCGCTGTGAAGCTGTCCACAGCCTCTGCAGTGCCAGTTCGATACCAGCCCACGAGGGTCCCACATGGCGCCACAGACCTCTCCTGCATCGCCTGCTGCTCCCCTCAGCAGTGTATTTCGTCAGTCTACCTGTTCTGTTCCCCGCTCTGGCTCTGGTGAATCCTCTCACCCTCCCATGAATCTAGTCTATACCCGGTTCTTGTATAAATAAATAATCTTTAAAAAAACACCCCCTTTTGCTGCCATTGAGGTATGTAGATTTTGTTACTGTTGGTAGTGGTGGTATTTTACATACATAGTACATTTTTATGTTAAGTCTCCTTTCTTATCATTCTTTGACACTGTACTGATCCTATAGTGATAATACACTGGTTCATTAGTTATCTTAGCCAATTTCTTCACTCTTAGTCTTCCTCTCAAAGGTGCTTCATGCTTCTTAAGAAGGGTTAACAACTTTTGGGCCAATGCTCTTTCCATGTTCCTTTTTTTCGATATCCCAATAGGCAGTACTATGTGTACCTGGTCTCAAATAATTCTTCAGACTCCTCAAGACTCCCACAAATTAATAAAAATAAGGTCATTAACCCAGGGGAAATAATAGGATCAAAATGACAGTTCAAAAATAAAGTAATATGAAAAAGTTTAGAAAAATATGAGAGAAAAGATAGGAAGAGATTATTTAATTAACTTATAACTGAAATTCCTAAAGGGTAAAAAAAGCAAACCAAAGCAACAGAAGAAATATCTTATGACTATAATTCAAGAAAACATTGTTGAAATACAGTCTATGAATTTATATATATATACAGAAACATATATATATATATATATATATATATAAAGATTTATGCAAGAACTGGGGTACAGGCCAGATGCGCGGGAGGGTGAGAGGATTCACTGGATACAGAGCAGATAACAGAACAGGCAGACTGACTGAAATATGCTGCTGAGGGGAGCAGCGGGCGACACAGGAGAGGTCTCCCGCACCATGTGGGTTTCTCTCTGGCTGGTGGGGAATCTAGCCTGTGCTGCAGAGGCTGCGGACAGCTTCACGATGTGGTGCTCAACTGCCTGCACCACCAGGAAGGCCCTGAATTTATATTTTAAAAGGACCCAGGAAAATGGGAAAGGATAGTCAATTCCAAGAAATATCTTAATAAACTATTCTACTTTTAAAATAGAGAAAATAGCCTCTGAACCTCCACGGAAAAGCCAAGAAATACACAGTAAAGAAAAAACAAAGCACAAAGCAGAGCAACATATTCAAGAGTTAAAAGTAAATGTCAGTATATGTGCCAAGATTTTGTAACCAGCAAAGTTAAAAAAAAAAAAATGTCAGGAGTATTCTACATATAAATAAAGGAAGAGAATTTTAAAATGAAAAGATGAAGAAAGATTTGAAGAACTTTTGGTAGTAAGTGCATTTAATTGAAAATACGGTACTAAACAGGTAGCATTAAAGTTGGAGGAATAATGTACAGATATTGTTTGCTCATTAAAGCAGAAATAACACAACTAAAAAACACAAAGAGAAGGAAGAATGGAATCTAGGTAACCAGATGCATTAACGTGTAGGTGGAAGTAAAAATGTTATTTAAAGCTAACATAAGAGAAATAGGGGATGAGTGATTACCTAAAGGTGTCAGCATAAAGATAACCTTTTTTAAAAATTTTTATTTTATATATATTTTTTACATCATTTTTCATTTTTGCACAATGTATGCATTTTCATGTTGGTTATAGTCCCCATACAAGTCCCACCACCCTTGTTTTGCTCCTACTCCCTCTCTCCCCCCCCCCGTAGTGTGTCTCTGGTTCATAGTTGCTTGTTGATTTTGATTTTTACTTTATTATAATTAGTCTTTTTCCTGGTCCCTTATTTAGGTTTTCTAAATTCCTGCTATGAGCGATACCATCTGGTATAAAGATAACTTTTAGGAACAAAAAAGGGACACAAACATGACATAAAATAGTATGACAGAGGGCCTCCCTGGTGGCACAAGTGGTTAAGATGTAATCTGTGAAGCTATCAGCAGTCACTGAAGCATGAGTTCAATCCCAGACCAGGGAACTACCCACATGGTGTAGCAGACCTCTCCTGACTCACCTGCTGTTCCCCTCAGCAGTGTATTTCAGTCAATCTCTCTGTTCTGTTCCCCTCTCTGTCTCTGATGAATCCTCTCACCCCCCACAACTCTGGCTTATACCCCAGTTCTTGTATGCATAAATAAATCTTAAAAATAATAGTATGGCAGAGCTGTAAGATCTCTTTTACATTAAGCCTATTAGTCAAAGTGTATTGTAAATATTTTCTCCAGGTTTGGGATCTATTATGTAATTTATTTTGATTGTTTGCCATCCAATAATTTCTTTGTAATTATTTTATCAACTGTTCACTTTATACCTTCTGGATTTTGTGTGTTTTAGAAAGACCTCCTCCAATCTGTGATTATATATATTTTTAAATTCTCCCATATTTTTTTCTTATACTACTACTGTTCTTCTTTGACCCATTCATTTTTATAGAAATGGTAAATATACAATTTTTTCTTCAAATAGGCTCATTTTCCTAAAATCAATGAGTTAAAAATTTAATCTTTTCTCCACTGACATGATATTGTTTAACAAACTCTTGTATATTTGGGGAACAGATCTCCATCTGCACAACTTATTTTTCTTGAAATCTATGCAACTGCAATATACTGTTTAATGTAATATAATACCTGATATGGCAAGTTTTTGACATTAATTATTATTCTAAATTTTACATTTATCAGGCCTCCCTGGTGGTGCAGGCGGTTGAGTGAAGCACTGTGAAGCTGTCCGCAGACTCTGCAGCATGGGTTCAATCCCGGCCAGCTGCAGATACCCACATGGCATGGCAGACCTCTCCTGTCTCACCTGCCGCTCCTCTCAGCAGTGTATTTCAATCATTCTGCCTGTTCTGTTCCCCGCTCTGTCTCTGGTGAATCCTCTCACCTCCTGCACATCTGGGCTGTATCCCAGTTCTTGTATAAATAAATAAATCTTAAAAAAAACACTTTAAATTTTACATTTATTTATTTATTTATATTCTTGTTTATTTTTATTTTTTTAAAGATTTGTTTATTTATGCATACAAGAGCTGGGGTACAGGCCAAAGATGCAGGGGGTGAGAGTATTCACCAGACATAGAGTGGGGAATAGAACAGGCAGACTGACTGAAGTACAGTGCTGAGGGGAACAGTGAGAGAGTCAGGAGAGGTCTGCTGCGTCATGTGGGAAGCTCCCTCAGTGGCTGGGGATCAAACTCATGCTGCAGAAGCTGCGGATTGCTTCATAGTGCAGTGCTTAACCCCTTGTGCCACCAGGGAGGCCCTTCTTACTTATTTTTAACTGAGGTAATATTGGGATACCCCCTCATCATTTTCTCCACTATTCTTGGATATTTATTTTTCCATGTAAACTTTAGACATGTGCTAACTGGTTATAATGGGATATCTTGATGAAAGATCAACTTTACTTCAAAAGAAGTAAGTTAATACATTATATTTGTGGAAAATAACATACACAATTTACAAGCTATCTTAATATGAATCCAGTTGGGACCCTGCTACCCAATTTCTCATCAATGCTTTCAAATGCTCCTCTGCTTTTAGGGGTAGTTTCCTAGAAAAGTAGAAGTCAGGCTTTAGAGTCAGAGATCTTGGTTTGTAACCTGCCTCGATTGATTGCCATTTTGCACCCTGAACCCATTAAGTTGGTTCAATGTTAGTTTTCTCATTTGAAAAATGAGGATAAAAATGCCTGACTTACAAATTTTCCTTAAGTATTACATAACTTGTATTTCTAATAACATTAAAAAGTACCTGAATCTGGGTGACAACCTCTGGATAATAACTCCAAATAGATGTTGACAACATCCTTATCAATACCTCCGATTTAGATTTCTCTCCTAACTCCAGAATTGCGATGGCATGACTCTTTTAGTTGTCTGATAAATTTCTATTTGTATTAATGAAAGCTGCTCAACTATTTATATATGTATTTATGAAAGCTGGTCTTTATTTTACAAAAGGAAAGAGAGAAAGAAAAAAAAAAAAAAAAGGACACTGCATCAGTCCCTAAAAACGGTTTTTGTCATTATCTTGGAAAAATGCAGTGAGTGAACAGAGATACCTGCTTCAACTCATTAGCAGTAAGTACAAGCCCCGGAACAGGAAGTACAGAACATGGTCCACTCCTCTCTCTCGTCCCCTCGCTCCACGGGACAGTATGAGAATGCACACGCAGGCGCACATAAGGGTAGATGACCTTAGCCCTCGCACGTCAACTTCCGGCCTATGGTAGCAACTACGTGACGCGAAAGCGAGATCAGCTCAGAGGCCCATGCCAACGTGAGTTCTGATACAGGTATGTTTGAGAACTCTCGCGAACTTGCATAGCATTTTGTTGAAGGAGGTTTTCTTGAAGTTCATATTGAAGTTATGCTTGTGACTTCACTGTGGAGTTGCAGTGTTTTTCAGAGCTACACATTGATAGTAAAGGTAGGATTTTCAGGTTGCTTTATAGACACACGTACATTTTCTCTTTGTTTAGGGGCCCTAATTTATGCCGTAATGCAACGAGCTTTAGAACGAGCTTTGGATCGTGCTGAGTCGATCATTGAAAGTGCCCAACAGAGGCCGCCTAACACGAAACATTCACCTAGTGGGGAAAAGTCTCTCCACCAAAAACTGTACGACATATATGTTGAGGAATGTGAAAAAGAGCCTGAGGGGACTGAGGAATTAAGAAGTAATGTGAATTTGTTAGAGAAGCTTGTGGCGAGAGAGTCCTTGCCGTGTTTAGTGGTCAATCTATACCCAGGAAATGAGGGCTATTCTCTGATGCTCAAGGAAAATAATGAATCCTATTCTGAAACCATCCGAATGCGCTATGAAGAAGGGGAATTGCTGCAATACTTGGATGCAGAAGAATTACCCCCTGTTCTGGTAGATCTCCTGGAAAAATCTGAGATTAATATTTTTCATCGTGGGTGTGTCATAGCAGAAGTTCGGGACTACAGGCAGTGCAGCAATACGGAACCCCCTGGTTACCAAAGTAGGCACATTCTCTTACGTCCAACCATGCAGACTTTAGCCGCGGATGTGCAGTCAATAACTGGTGATGACCACAACTGGACCCAGGAAGACAAACTTTTGCTGGAGAGCCAGTTGATCTTAGCTACAGCGGAACCCCTGTGTCTTGATCCTTCTATAACAGTAGCCTGCACGGAAAACAGACTGCTTTACAACAAACAAAAGATGAATACTAACCCAATGAAACAAAGTTTCAAGAGGTATTCTATGCCTTCTATGAATAAGAAGCAGGAGTTGTCTCATCTACCTCCTCCTGAGCTAAGAGTGTTAACTTGCAAAAATGGGCAAGAAAGTAAAACAGGTGAACATTGTGACCTCAAATTTCCTATAGCAGGAAAGTGTATAGATATATGGCAACAGAGACCCTGTGACTTGGCCATACCTTCTGAAGTGGATGTGGAGGAGTATGCTAAAGAGAAGGAGTCTGTAGAAGGTGAGGATTCAGAACCAATAGTTTGGCCAACCCAGGAGGTAGAAGATGATTATGTATTTGGAAGTGAAGCTAGTGATCAGTACCAGAAAACAAAGCTGCCTTTCATGCAGTCATTTAATGATCCACTTTTCTCTGGAAAAATAAGGTCACATAAAAAAGTCAGATATGAGAAATATATGTCTCCCTCACACTGCTCCATGGATGATCAATTGAATATGGCAGGGTCAAAGACTGATGCTGGGATGATAGTCAGTCAGTCAGAGGAACTGGTCCAGGAGAAATCCAACTCTCCAGTCAACCTGTCATACAGCTCCAGTGACTCACCTATTCTTAGTCATCTTTCTCCAGAGAAAGAAACAGAACAGTCTGAGAGTATGTCAGTTCAGTCTTCAGTATTGGGGGAGGGAATCAAATATCCACCTCTATCCACCATACTTTCCTCAAGCTCAGAAAATAGTTCCCCAGGGAACAATTTTATTCCACAACAGGAAAGCAGCTTTCTTAAATCTCCATCACCCACTCCTACTTTGAAGTCACCAAGTCTTTTTCAGAAATTCTCTGTGGAAGTGGATCAAGTTAGCATGATTCCTGTAGGCAATCTGTCTGCTGTCAGCTCATCACAAGGAACCCCAGCCCCATCCACTGCTATCTCCTCACAGAGAACTTCAGCACAGTCTACTATCAGCGCATCAGAGAGCTCTCCAGGTCTTTCCGCTAAAGTCTCATCACAGAGAACCCCAGGCCTGTCTTCTGTCAGCTCATCACAGAAAACTCCAGGTGTGTCTACTGTCAGCTCCTCACAGAGCATCCCAACACTGTGCAGTGTCAGCTCCTCACAGAGAATCCCAACACTGTCTAATGTCAGTTCCTCACAGAGAATCCCAACACTGTCCACTGTTAGCTCCTCACAGAGAATCCCAACACTGTGCAGTGTCAGCTCCTCACAGAGAATCCCAACACTGTCCACTGTCAGCTCCTCACAGAGAATCCCAACACTGTCCACTGTCAGCTCGTCACAGAGCATCCCAACACTGTGCAGTGTCAGCTCATCACAGAGAATCCCAACACTGTCTAATGTCAGCTCCTCACAGAAAATACCAACACTGTCCACTGTCAGCTCCTCACGGAGAACAACTGGTCGGTCCACTGTCAGCTCATCACAGAGAATCCCAACACTATCCATTGTCAGTTCATCACGGAGAACAACTGGCCAGACCACTGTCAGCTCATCACAAAGAATTCCAACACTGTTCACTGTCCGCTCCACACAGAGAATCCCGACACTGCCCACTGTCAGCTCATCACGTAGAACAACTGGCCTGTCCAGTGCCAGCTCTTCACAGAGAATCCCAACACTGTCCACTGTTGGGTCATCAAGGAAGGCAACTGGCCTGTCCAGTGCCAGCTCCTCACAGAGAATCCCGACACTGTCCACTGTTAGCTCCTCACGGAGAATCCCAACACTGTCCACTATCAGCTCCTCACGGAGAATCCCGACACTGTACACTGTTAGCTCCTCACGGAGAATCCCGACACTCTCCACTGTCAGCTCCTCACAGAGAATCCCAATACTCTCCACTGTCAGTTCAATACCGAGTATCCCAGCCCCGTCTACTGTCAGCTCATCACAGAGAACACCATCCCTATTCACTGTCATCTCCTCACAAAGTACTCCAGGCCTATCCACCGTCAGCTCATCACAAAAAATCCCGACATTGTCCACCATCAGCTCATCACAGAGTACTCCAGCACTATCCACTGTCAGCTCCTTAAAGGGAACCCCAACCCCATCCACTGTCAGCTCATCACAGAGAAAACCAGTGACCCAGGTCACGGCCGACTCCTCTGGCCTGAATATTATCAATGTGGTGGGCCCTGTTTTTGGAGCCCAAGCTTTAGTCAGTGGGTCCAACCCTGTGCAAAGCTCTACCCCTGGAGCCACAGCTCCTGCAGGAATAAAGCCTAGTAACCAGCCCTCAAGAGGTCAGACACCAAATGTGCTGCCTGGTGCGTTGCAGGAACCATCTCAAATGGGTGTTCAACTTTTTTTAGAAAATAATTCAAGTCTTACACACTTAACGGTACTCCAGGTTCCACAAGGTTCACTCATTTTGAACACAAAGCAGCAGCCACAGAAGCAGCAACAGCCACTACAGATGCAGCAGCCACTACAAATGCAGCAGCCACAACAGCCACAGCAGCAATGGCTCTATCAATTGATTCCACAACAACTTCAGCAATCTTCCACTTCCTGTCCTCAGCAACCGGTGTCACAGGGTTCAAGGGCACAAGGTTCAACTACACAGGCAGCACCCTTATCTGCTCAGCAAGCTGTTGTCATCAACCTCACTGGAGTGGGAACTTGTATGCAGCCCCAGGCAGCTGTGTTGTCTCAACTTGGCTCTGTCCAGAGCAGACCTGAGCAAAGTCAAACTCAGGAAACATTCCAGCTCTCCTCTGCCTTACAGCAGCATCAACCTAATCTGCAACATCAACCACAACCGCAGCTGCAGTCTCAACAACAGACACAACTGCAACCTCAACAGCAGCCATGGCTGCAGGCACAGCCACAACCCTGGCCACAGCCACGACCTCAGCCACGGCTTCAGCCATGGCCACGCCCACAGCCACGCCTGCAACCACGGCAGCAGCCACGCCTGCAACCGCGGCCGCAGCCACAACCTCAGCCTCGGCCTCAGCCACGGCCACGGCCTCAGCCACGGCCACGGCCGCAGCCACAGCCACGGCCACAGTCACGGCCACAACCACGGTTGCTGCCACGGCCTCTGCCACAGTTGCTGCCACGGCCTCAGCCACTGCAGCCACCGTTGCAGCCGGGGCCGCAGCCAGAGCCACAGTTGCAACAACAGCCATGGGCACAACTCCAGCCACAGCAGCTACAGAGCGGAATCTTGCAGCACCCACTGACTATGGCAACAGTAACCACCCAGTCAGGTCAAACACATCCAGCTATTGAGGATACAACCAAACCCGCCAAAAGGTAAAATGAAGAGAGGCACATCGACTACTCCAAAAATTTAAGTCTTGTATTATCTTTTTGTTGTTTTTATGGATGAGTTTTGCTTCATTTTGGTGTTAAATGTCTCTATTTTCCATGGTTGGGTGTACAAACTATATAGAAGCATAACCCAATGCTTTAAAAAAAAAAAGAAAAGAATGCACTATGGCACAAGCCACCATAAAGTTAAAATCCAAGCTCCAGAGTTTACTAATGTATTTCCTTTTTTGTCCCTCCCCTTATCCTATTTTGCAACATCTCTGAATCTCTAGTCCCTCATCTCTAAACATGAATAGTAATAAGTAGTTCTTAATTTTATTGTCAAGGTTAAGTGAAAGTTAGATATACTAAATATTAATACTTAAAGCTAATTTTCATACAATATTAAATATTTGAAGTAAACAAATACGTAGGCTGAAATAAAATATAATAACAGTGCAAATAATAGCTACATAAAAGTCAAACTTAGTCAAATTTGCCAGAGAATTTTAGTTCTTCAAAAGAAAACTATGCTAGAATTTTAAAGATAAGCAAGCAATTTGAAAACCTACATATATCCTGTTGATATTCAAATTGTTTATATGTATATATGTATAAATTATTTATTTATAGATAGTTAAGAGATAGAAAGATAATTTTATTTCTCTATTAATAAGCAGTAGCCTCTTTACCCTAGATGCCCCATATAGTGAATTCTCTATCTGATAAAACTGGATGCATTATGCACAAAATAATTCATTCTTCAGTTATTGTGGAATGATTTGGATATATGACTCAATATCATTTGCCAGACAATATTTTTCAACTACATTATTCATGTGATGCTTATTATTTTGCAAACACTTCATAATATACAAATGCACCTGCTATCTAACATTCATCTTGCTCCTCTATTCTGTCTCAATTATTTTGTCCCCATCAGACAAAATATTAATTATAAGACAGAAGAGGTGAAAATTTCTTGACTTATAATAGACAAGTTAATGAAAAATGAGAAGTTTATAACAATAACAGTAAATAACAATAAGGAATTGTAGGGGAAATACCAAATAAGGAAAAAGACCAAATAAGGAATTGTAGGGAAAAGACCAAGTAATTGTGATATGAAAATATCTTTAAATATATCTGCTAATTAAAAATGATTCCTGCAGCTCCCCAAAAATATATTTTAGGATTACAGAGTAAGATAACAAGAAAAAGACAAAACTGAGTAGATGAAATTCTGTCTCTCAAACAAAAGCTTCAGTAAATTCCTATTTGTGGATAATACTTTAAAATATTTTATATCATATCTAAGTATAAGTTAAAAATATCATCTTCCTGATTTTCTCGAAAGCTTGCTTGAAATGAATGAGCTATTGAAAACATCAGTAAAATTGTTACTTTAGTTGAAAGAATTTATTTATTGTAATGACATTTGTTATTTACATCCTCTTGGATGACTGGTGACATATCTTTCAGTTAATATATCCAAATATGACAGTCATCATTTCCCCAAGCCTATCAGAACCTTTACTGTTTTATGTATAACTCACAAAGTTATTTATTTATTTATCTATTGATTGATTGATTGTTATTGAAGTATCTCTATTTTATATCCCTGATTGATTGATTGTTATTGAAGTACCTCTATTTTACATCCCTGCCAGTGTCTTGACAGTACAGGATCTCTCCTCTCGGGTGTAATCACTGAGGCACTCAGAGTCCTCCACCAAAGTTCAATTTTAAAAAATTTCAAAACCAGAAAACATATTTGTATATCCTTATCATCCAAAACTACTTGTACTGCAATTTGTGGACTTTCCGAAATTCTTAGAGAAATTCTCAGACCTTCTAAATAGATGATAACCACCCAATCTAAGGTAACAGGAGTAAAAATTTGGAGGCAGAATGAGTGCTGACACTAGCATATGGATTTAGATCAAATATTTTCATCTGTGACATTTCTTATCATGTCACATTCCTTTGCTTCATAGCCTCCTCCGCATCTGCATATTCTGCAAATGAATTTAAACTATATTGTTTGGCCATAGGATGTCTTTTGAAAAAAAAATTACTGAGGTACCATTAGTTTACATCGTTGTTTGTATTTTGAAGTTTAGGAACCCCCCTCCTCAGGTGGTGTATGATGTCTCCTTTTGACCTGGATATAGTCTATCCCCAACCTCCTTCCACTTCCTCATTCACATTTTTGGCTTTGGTAGAATTTAAAGATTGGTGCTCCCTAGCTGTCAGGTTTCTCTCATTTCCTCAAGTTGGATGAGCACCTCAAATGTGAACTTGTTTCAATCCTCTGCTTATCTTTAATACTTAGCCTAAATACCATCCCTTTGGAACCTATGTGTATTTCCATGTCACCCTTTATTACAGCACACTTAAAGCTATTTCACAGGGTTATTAATGGGCCAAATATAGTAGTTATAGGAAAAGCAAGAATTGAAAATGTTCATGATAAATATTCTCTTCAATTTCTGTTTATTTTTTCAAACATAGATTATATAACTTTGCATGCATGTTTATGTCATTTGTACTTTTACTGGAATGGTTAAAGCTTACTATGTATAAAATTATAGATATATATTAATGCATATTTATATTCTATAATTCTATCTGTTGAATATCACAATTGTCTTTAAATGAGAATTATTATAAAATAGGATATATATCTAGTATTAGTAAATTTTATCAGCATTTGAATACAGTTTCTCTTTAAGCAAAAGTTATATGTAAGAAATAAGGAAAGTAAATAGGGGTGTTTTTTTGTTTGCTGTGATCCAATAAAATAGTCCTTAAGTTGTGATTCATCATAGGTCATTGTAATGAAATGTAACACAAAAGTTTTCTTTGACAAAATTCCAAGGCCTATCTGAGGAACAAAAAGAAGGCAAAAAACTAAGATCACCCATATCTTGTGGATTTGTATTTCTTAGATGTTTTGCATTTTGGAAATATATAAATCTATGCAAATAAAATACTTTCCTTTCTCTGTGGAGTTGTTATTACATCATGTCATAATAGTTGGAAGGAGTCTTATGAGATTGGAGTGGTATGTTTGGGATGATAGGACTTAAATGTAGATATGATCAGGAAATGGGGAGCTGTTCAGTGAGCACTGTTTCAGTTTTGCCAGATGAACAGTTTCCAGAGATTTGTTGTACGACAGTGTAAATATGCCGAACACTACTGAACTGTATACGTAAAATGGTTAGGGTGGAAGATTTTATGTGATGTGATTTTTCTACCACATTTAAAAATTTTAAATAACAGTAAAAGATGTGGGATATAAAATACTTCATTTGCAGGGGTCTCAAGGGAACCTCAGTCACTTACACTCTAGAGAACAGTGTTTAAGAACAGAACTTCTTTGGAGCCACTCTGTCTAATTTCAAAACCTTACTCTGCCACTTAATAGTCATGGGACCATGGATAAGTTTCTTTTTTTTTTTTCTTTAATATTTTTTGTTTGTTTATTTTTGCACAGAAGAACTGGGGTATAGGCCAGAGGTATGGGGGGTGAGAGGATTCACTAGAGACTGAGTGTGGAGAATAGGCAAAATTTACTTAAATACATGGCTAAGGGGGAGCATCAGGGGAGCCGGGAGAGGTCTGCTGCCTCATATGCAGGTTAGACCCCTCGCCAGGGATCCAACTCAGGCCTCAGCGGTGATAGCACTGAGACTTAACCCTTAGGCCACCAGGGAGGCCCATGAGAAAGTCTTTTAATCTCACTGTGCCTCAGTTTTTTCATCTGCAAAATGCAGATATTTAAGAGAGCCTTTTCCCACATTTCTTATAAGGATCAAAGAAGATAATATTTATAAACCTCTTAGACATTCATAAGATAAATTCTCCAGAATAACTGAAATGCTGGGGTTATTTTCATCAAATTTAAAGGATATGTTTTAGATGTTCTGACACAATACAGAATTCTGGCAAACCTAAAATCACTCTGGTAAGCAACATAGACCACCTAGAAGGGTGCCAGTTCTCCAATACAAATGAATGAGATCTGCTTATTGTTGACTGATAAAATGATGTGATATCAGTTTTCTGATGCTGTGGACACTGCAAACAAAATGTGGTTTCTAACATAAGGCCCTAAAGCAAACATGCTGATGATACACCCCTGAATTACAAATTAAGGTGCCTCACCCCACAGCCTACTTCCATTTAGATGGCTGCAAGACTTTATGATTTAGTGACTGATGAGTCTCTGAGGCAAAGAAAAAGGCCAGCGAGTGCACAGTGTTTCAGAATGGAAGGGAGTCCAGTTGGAGGCTCTAATCAAGATCAGCAGTGCCCAAGCCCTCACCTAAAATGCTTAGGATCTCATGGCTAATGGCTTCCAGGGAGTCTGCTCACCTCATGCTGAGGCAGAAACTGCGAGGAAGGAAATGTAGCCCCATCCAATTAAAGAGAATGTGTTGCCTCGAAAAAATAAAAAATAAAAAAAAAGCGTAACAATAACTATAAAGGGGTAATGATGCCTTGCATTCACTCTTTCATTCACAAATATTCTCTGGGCACTTATAAGACAGACTATATTGAAACTAATGGTGCAACAGTAAAAAGGACATGGTGTCTTTCAAAAGCTTACAGTCTAGTACATTAGGAATGTATATATGAACAAAGTAGAGAAAACTCTAGCTTGGCTTTTAAATCAAATTGCATTTATCAAACACAACTCTACATTAACCTTTTAATTTTTTAATTATATTTCAAGATTATGGCATTCAATGATAATTTTAAGAAACACTGCAATTTAGGATTTAAAATGGAAATGGCAACAGACCTCCAGATGTAGTGTTGACATAATATCACTTTTTTATCACTTGCCCTCATTTCAGCTTAATAAGCTCTCTTGGCTCTCATCTTTCAATGTTTAATCCAAAGCAATTAAACTGATATGCAAATGCCATCTCCATTGCTTTAAGAGTGACACTTAACACACAGTTTCATTATAATAGGCAAATGGAATGTTTGTAG